CTACTGGTCTTGGGACAGTGTTGATCTTTCAACAATACTAAATCTCCAACGGTTTGTTTTTTTTTTATCAATTCCCGTCACCCACCCACCACCCCACAGGAAAGTTTTTGGCGTTCCTAGGTGGTACAAACAATTAATATTCTTATTTATTAACTGAAGATTGAAGGTTCAAGTCCATCAAGAGAAGCCTTAGAAGAAAGAGCTGGTAACCTACTTCCAGAAAATATCAGCCCTGGGTTCTCAATGGAGCAAAGTTTGACGCTGACACACAGAGGGTAAACATGAGTGGTAATTAACACCTCACACAGTAAGTAACTGGCTTATCAAATTATCAAAGCTGCCATTTTTTTTCCAGCAAAAGTAAAACAAATGAAAAGAGTCTTTCATTAAAAGATATCTTTAGTGACATTAACTTTTGTTGCATATTTTTTAAATAATACTTTTTACTAGCTGCTAGACTTTAATACATATATTACTGACATATTCTCTTTTCAGCATTAGACATAACTACTGATAAACTGACTATAGTAGAATAATAAAATAGAAACTACTTGCATGTAATTCACAAAGTTCAAGCCCTCCAAACAATCCTTGAGGGTCAAATATGCAAAACGTACCAGTCTGCCAGTGAAAGCCGGTAAATATGCAGAGGTCAACAATGGAAATATAACTTCAAGAAACATTAAGAAAAAGTTCCACAATTTCAAATTTTCATGGGATCTAGAATTTCCAGAGCCAGGCGGCTAGATAAAATATCAAAAAATATCACCAAAATACCCCAAAAATATCACCCGGAGACAATCTTTAGAACAAAAATATTCACTGAAGCTTTCAAAACCAAATAATAGCTTAGTTTAGCTAGTAATGAATGCCTGCTTTGAACAGTATGCTCTTTTAAGATCTATCTGGATGGGAGAAAACTGACAGTGACAATTCACAACCCAGGGGGAATCTGAGCCAATGTTAGTGAAGCAGGAAGAACTCATAAAGGAGGGGTGAGGAGGCCCCCAGAATGCGAGAAAGCAGGGACTGCACTCAGCTGTACCCACACTAAGTGCTCAGTTTACATGTTCTGCTCTGTACACTTTCAACAACAAGAACAAAACTAATTCTTAAAGGTTCTCTAATCACAGCCACCTCTCCACCGCAGGTCTGAGGAACTGACCCGGTGTACATTCTGCGCATCTTCTATGAGCCCAAGGTCAACCCTGCTCATGGAATTCACAAGACAATCTAGTATGACATTTAAATGGTAAGGCAACACTTTCATGATTTACTTTTAGGAGGATCACAAATCATTAATATCTAAAGTTTTCTGGCCCCTCAGAACCAATCTTTGCTCCCACTGAAAAAGTGAGTCCTAAACCCTTTGTTTCTACATTTGATCCCCACTCTACCTTAAAAGAAAGAGAATAAGAAATCTATTTACCTAAGAAAACACTTTGCCAAATAGCTGTCCGTTTATCCACTCAGGCACTTTGAAAGAAGTGATTCCCTTAGGGGAGCTCTGGTGGCCTAGTGGCAAGAAGCTGCACTGCAATCCCAGAGGAACACGGTTTGAATCCACCAGATGCTCTGCCAGAGAAGGAGGCGCAATATCCTCCCGTACCAGTCAGATCTGATTTGACGGTACACGCACACAAAATAATAAAAAATAATAAAAAAAAAAGAAAGAAGTGATTCCCATATTATTAGCCCTTCCCCCACAGCAGTGGAGGTAGTGGGGCCCCTATGAACAGACATGACCTGTGTCCTCCCCTACGCCATCCTCATCAGCTCCACCATACGTGAGTCCACTGCTGTAATCCCTGTGTCAATTCAGGGTCTGGAAGATCCTTTCGCTGACCCTCCACCTTGCCAAGCATGATGTCCCTTTCCTAGAAACAGCCTCTCCTAGCAACATGATGTGACTAAAAAACATGATGTTAGACAAAGTTCTGTCATTCTTGCCTCCAAGGAACATGCTGGGTGCACTTTCTCCAAGATATATCTGCTGTTCTTTTAGCAGTCCATAGGATATTCAGTACTTTTCTCCAGCTCCCTTTAAAAAAAAAAAAAGCCTACATATTTGGAACTAGAAGAAACACTGAGGGCTCATAGGGCCCCACCAACCTTTCCAGATGAGGAAACTGAAACAGCCTTCAGAGGAGAGACTTGCTCAATCACTGTCACCGGCCGGGGACAAGGATCTTGTCCGTCTGGTTGGCTTGCATCTGTTGGCTGGCACGCAGTCAGATGTCTGCACTCATGAATGAATGGACGGCTATGGGGCAAGTCAGTGACAGAGCCAGAAGCCAAGTTCATCTTATGCCCAGCCTAGCACTTCTCCCACAACAGCACTATGTGCTCTGCTGTGTCCACACAATTTCAAACAATGGCCACAAAGACAACAAAATTCTCAAGTGTTTAAAAAGCTTCCCATTTGACATAAAACCTTTTCTTTCACATAATCTGTAAAACTGAAGTGCAGAGTCTTGTATACTTAGGAGTGATTCAGTCCATGCAAAGTTAAGGACTTGAGATGAGTAGGTCAAGGATACATAGTCTCCGTGCTGAACCTCCCACTAGCTTACTTGCCTTGGCTCTTTTCTGGAGTTCTGAGAAACATACACATATCATCCCTGTTAACACAGGCTGGGAAGCCTAGAAAACCAAAGCTGTGTCTTCTCTTCCTAATGCATTTGCCAGGTCTGAGCAGAGTAGCTAAATTTATACCAACAATTAAAACAGCAAGAACAAAAAAAAACTGGTCTGGTATTCGATTCATCAATGGACTCTCGGGTCTAGTACAGTTCCTAACCCGTAACAAGTACTTAACACTTATGAGTTAAACAAAGGAAAGCTATGGCCAAAGCTGAAAGCTATTAAGCAACCTCTTTTCTGCATTTATTTATTCAAATATTTATGTAGCAAATGTCCGCATGATGGACTCCCCGCTACTCTAAAATACAGTTTCTCCCAGAGAACGAGAGCTCTGTTTCCCAGCCAATGCATCCCCACACAGTAGCTGTTCTCGGGCAGTGTGGGCACAGCTGTTATTGTTGTTAGGTGCATTAACTTCTATTCCTAACAACCCTCTGAAAAACAGATCAGAACCTTGCCCTTCCCTACAGTATTCTCAAGATCTCCATCCCCCTGGTGCCCACTGTGTCAATCTACCTCACGGAGGGTCTTTCTCTCTTTCTCTGACCCCCTACATTTCCCAGCATAATGTGTTTCCTAAGGACTGGCCCCTGATGACAATGCACCCAACGTGTGTGAGGTTATAGTTGCACTAAGCCCACAACAGTCCTAGTGTATACTTAGTGTTAATTACTAACCACCCACTGCTGTGGAGTTGATTGTGACTTCTAAGGACACTGTAGAATACAGCAAAACTCCCCAGTAAGGTTTCCAAGGCTGTAAATCTATACAAAAAAACACCCTCTCATCTTTCTCATATGATGCTTCTGTTGGATTCAAATCAACCACCCTTCAAATCGAGGCCCAATGCTTAAACCAACATGCTGCTGTTCTCTCATTATGAACATAACCCCTTTTCTCTCAACAACGTCTTGGTCTAGACAATAATTTGAACAGTCCTAGGGATCAGAAACCTTCGAGTGGAGCATGACTCACAGCGACCCTCTATACCACAGATGTGAACCCTGCCCTTGGATGAACTGCATCCATCAAGAATATGGATCTTCAGTTTTTCATTAGTCAAGAGCTTAACACCCATTGCCAACTAGTGGATTCTGATTTACAAGGATCATCTGGGTCAAATGTAAACTACTCCAGAGTTTTCTTGACTGCAACCTTGACGACAGCACACTGTCAGGCCTTTCTTGCACAGCACCGAGGGGTTCTGCACTACACTGGTGTTTTTCCCCCTTTCACACGCAGCAGAGAGTCATAAAAACTTTGGTAGAAGTATGATCAAAGCACAGTGAAAATGCTACAACTGTGATGACAGAGAAGTACAAGCTAAGGCTGGAGAGAGGGCTGGCTCCAGGTCATGCCAAAAAGACAGCCTAAAGCTATGAATAAATAAAGGTCGTTGCCAGCAGAAACAGAAAGAAATATGCTATTTCATCATCGGTCCTTACATACAGTTTGAAAATTTCAACAATACTACATGCAACTGAACACGCATTCATCCGTCCCTGGTCTTCCCTCATTGCAAAGGGCAACTGTAAAAGCTCTGAAGCAGCTGCCGTGCCCGAGCCCTAGTGGTTTCTGTCTTGTTCCTATTTGGAGACTCACATTTCAAGAGTGGTATTCATCGTCAGGAGTTTCCTGACACTAAGAGAGAGATGGGAATTGTAACCCGCCTCCTCCATCCACATAATCCTCTATTGCATCACTTGAAACCAAGCTTCTTCAAAACAAGGACTTGTAAATTTCAGGAGGAGGGAAATGGCAGCGGCGGCGGCCCTGGGCTCGCAGCGCAGGAGCGCGCTCCCCGAGGTGCCAAGTCTGCAGGCGCAGCCGGTAGATCAACAGGTCCGCCCGCCGCGGGAGGAAGTGGTTAGTCACTCGCACTCGCGCCCGGGCGCCTTCCCTCCCGCCACGCCGGCCACGGGACCCGCCGGGGAAGTGGCCAGCCCGCGAGAAAGGCAGCGGCCCCTTCCTGGGTTCGAGTCCCCGGCAGATACTTGGGCTTCCTCCTCCTCCTCCTTCCGTTGCCCGCTCGGCCCGGCGTTTCACATGCACACGACCAGAGGATCCCAGGTGGAGACGGGTGTCCTCGTCCCGGGAGCCAGGGTCAGACGTGAGGTCCGAGGGGCGCCGACACCCCGGCCTGCAGTGGGCGCTCCGCACGCTCGAGCCTGACCCCCCGACCACGCGCGCGAGGCCGGCAGTCCCCAGACCCCGGCGCGCGCCCGCGGCGCACCTCCTCGCTCGCCCTCCTCCCGGCCCCCCGCACCCCCGGGTCAGGGTGCAGGGGGCCGGACCTCAGCCCCCTGCCCGGCTCAACCGACCCCCGGGTTCCGGCGCGCGATCCCGCCGGTCGGTACCTCGTCCGCTTCCAGCTCCGCTCCATTGCCCACGAGCGCCATGTTCCTCCTCTGGCGGCTGCCGCCCCGAAGCTGAGCGGGGAGCGCAGGGAAGACTCTCGGTTCCCGGCACAGCCCAGAGAGGGAGGGGAGCAGGGGGCGGCACCGCGCTCCCGCCGGCTCCCGGGCGGGGCCGGCACGCAGCTACGCGGGCGCTTTCCCCGCCCCCTGCGCCCCAGGGCCAGCGGGGCGTCCATTCCCCAAACGTGCGCCCCACGGTCCGCCCGCCGCAGGCCCCGCCCCGCAGGGCCCGCCCCCCGCTCGCAGCCAACCAACTTCCCAGAACGAGGCCCCGCCCCAGCTGGCAGCCGCGTAGGACCCCCATGTGGGTGGAGCCAAGTTTGTGGGCGGGGCGGAGTGGGCGGGGTCACCCTGCCCACCTTCTCGAGAGGTACCTGAGGGGTCTCCTGGAAGGACTGCCAGAGCACCTGGAGTTAAGTGGGCACCAGATTTAAGAGTCCAGAGTCAAAGGCACACTTCCCTTGAGGTCTGTAAAAGCGTCCATCTGGCACCTGGGTGGATGCCAATTCCTTCCCTGGCCAGGTGAATGTGGTGTCTTGCCTATGGTCAAGCAAGAGGGCTTACTAGAACCAAGGTCATGCCACTTGGCCTGTCATTTGGACCTTCAGATGTAGAGGGACTGTGTATGTTTTAAAAAAATGTGGTGGTGTGGAAACAACCACATACAAGAGAAGCTGATGCTTTGATGCTTTGCTTGTGTACAACCACCACACTGGATCTGGGTTTTGGTTCGCAAGTCTCTTGTTACTGTTACGTGTCCTCTAATTGAGTATGACCCATAGAGACCTGATGAACGACAGATCTAAATGAACCCTGGCCTATCCTATGACACACCCTCATCATCCCTGACACACTCGAGCCCACGGCTGCCGTCACTATGTCAGTCCACCCAGCTGAAGGTCTTGCTCTCCTTCCTTGAGAAGTCATAGCTCTGCCATCATTTGATGGCACATCCCAGATCCCTTGCCGTATAGTGATGAGTGATTCTCTTCTGCCTCCCACTTGACTGGCTAGTGCCTGAGGACTTACAGGTTTGTAACAGGCCAGCTAAGGCATTGTTGTAATGTGCAGTTGAGTCTACAATGACTCATGGCCACTCTATGAACAATAGCTCTGAAATCTGCCCTACTGCCAATCTCACTGTCTCTGACACACCTGCCCCCATTACCTCAGTCATTGGGTCATTATTCAGGAGAGTCATAGATAGGAGTAGAATACGGAATTGTCTCTGGGAACAACAGCTCCTTTGCCGTGATCAGAAGAACTGCCTTGTGAAGAAAGTTCAGAAAAGGAGGGTAAGACTTGTTGGGTAACTCGAAGCATGAAATCAGAGTCTCTAGGATTACAGTCTTCAATACGGACTAAGGCTCAACATCAAGAAAATGAAGATCCTCACCACTGGGCCAAGTGGCAGCATCATGATAGCTAGAGAAGAGACTGAGATTGTTAACAACTTCAGCTCGCTTGTTTCCACAATCAACACTCATGGCACCAGCAGTCAGGAAATAAAGAGACGAATTGCATTGGGGAAAATTTACTGGGTCAGGGACCTCCCCAGTGTGCTGAAGAGCAATCATGTCAGTCTCAAGACTAAGGTGTGCCTGATTCAAGCCATACTCTTTGCTTGCTATATATCAGAGAGCTGGACAATGACTAAGGATGAAAGAAGGAGAATTGATGCTTTTGAGTTGTGGAAGGGAAGAGTAGTGAACATACATATCATCGACTGCCAAGAGAACAAGCAGATCTTTCACAGAGGGTAAAACAAAGCTGCGCCTTGGAGATAAGGATTTTGAAGCTCTGTCTCACATACTTTGGGCACATTGCCAGGAGGAACCAGTCCTTGGAGAAGGACACATGCTTGAAAAGGCAGAAGGACAGTGCAGGAGAGGATGAGATGGGCTGACACAGTAACTAGGGTAATGGGGGTAAGTGTGTCAGAGATAGTAAGATTGGCTCAGGATAGGACAGGGTTCAGCGCTATTGAACATAGGGCCACCAAGATTTGCAGGCAACTCGATGGCACTTAACAACAACAAACTGTACATGTAGAAATTGTTGAACTGATGTCTATTTTGCTATATACCATCTCAAAACACCAACAAAATAAAACTTAGAGAGACCTCATAGAACAGATGTATATACAACTTAAAACTCACGCTAAATTTCTCGTCTCCACCACCTCACCAAGCATCTCTCCCTGTTATCATCTTATACTAACGCACTCATTTTGTGACTCCACATGCAAGTATATTCTTTGTTTTGAAGTAGTCCTACTCCATCAGGTCTGACTACTGTTGTTTTTGTCAGTACTGTATCTGACACCTAGACTATTGCTTTGCCTATAAGAAGTGCTCAACACCAACCAATTTCTGCAGCTCTGCAACTGCATCCCTGCCCATCCTCACCCCTCTGCCCCCAACCCTCACCTCCTTGTACCCCCAGTATGTTTTTTTCCCAATTAAAAAAAAAAAGTGCTCAATAAACGCTTGTTGACTGTGTTTACAAATTGATTCTTGGTTCTGAAAAAAAGAAATAATTTAATTACTCAACTGGAAAACTAAGGGCTTTATTTTAGGGATTTTCTGTATGATTTTAGGGGTTTTTTTTCTTGTTTGTCAGCTTTATTTTATGCACAATAATGCACCAAATTTAAGGGTATAATCTGCAAATTTTGACAAAAGCATATAATCACCTCAACTATATGTTGTTAGATGGCAGAGTCAGTTGCAACACACAGTGACCCTATGTACAGTATAAGAAATCTTACTCAATCTTGCACCTCTTTCACAGTCTCTTCTGTGCTTAAACCCATTGCCACTTCTTAAGTGCCTTTTAACCCAAGATCTCCAGTTATTCACAGGCTTTCTGAAGGCCTCACCACTAGGCCAATAAGCAATATTGTGATAAAAGAAAGGCTGAAATTTCCAATACTTCCCTTCTACTTGGATCACCAACCAACAAGCTTATTCTTGTTGCTTTTAAGGACTGTTGACTCAGAAGTGACTCAAAGGTGACCTTCCAGTGGGTATAAAGAGGCAATACACCACATGAAAGGAGACTGTTAATCTATCTCTTGCAGAGCAACTGGTGGATTCAAACTGCATGTCTTTGAGCTGGCAGCACAACTCCTTACCACTAAGCCACCAGTGCTCACTATCATGGTAGCAGCAGTCAAGAAATCAAAAGACACACTGCATGAAGAAAATCTGCTGTCAAGGACCTCTCCAAAGTGCTAAAGAGCAATGATGTCAGTTTAAAGACAAAGGTGTGTCTGACCCAAACCACAATCTTTTTCATGTAAAAGTCCAGCAGAGGGATCGATGCTTTTGAGCTGTGAAGTTGCAAAAGAGGGATGAATATCTCATTGACTACCAATTTAAAAAAAAAAAGTCTGTCTTAAAGGAACTACAAACAGGATACTCCGGAGCAAGGATGGTGAAACCTCAACTCATATACTTTGGGCATATTGTCACCAGGAGGCTGTCCTTGGAAAAATGTTGGGAAAGGGGAAGGGTCTGAGCAAGAGAGGAAAAACCTCAACAAGGTGGACTAAGTGTGACAATGGACTTGAAGATCTTGAAGGTGGCACAGGATAGGGTTCGGTTCAGATCTGTTGTTCAAAGGGTCCCTCTTAGTCATGGTCAACTCGGCAGCACCTAACAACATCAACCACCAGGCTGAGAGCCTCTTCTCAATGCTCCACTCCTATTCACAGGGCTTCCCAGGGCCCATTATTTCAGAAGCAGATGGCCAGTCCTACTTCCTGGTCTAGAGCTCCAGTGGAACCTGTGCATGAGGGGTGACCCTGTTGGTATCTGAAATATCAAGGGCATAGACTCCAGCATCACAGCAACATGCAAGTCACCACCATACAACAAACGCACATATGAGGCATGGAACCACGATTTATACAGTGTGTCCCTTTGCTGTCAGTTTGGTCCCTCGATTCAAAGAGATCCCATGTGTGTCCAAGCAGAACTGTGTTCTTCAGGATTTTCAAGAGCTCGTTTTTCAGAAGTCATTTGCCAGGCCTTTCTTTTGAGGCCCCTCAGGATGTACTTGAACTACTAATCTTCCTGAAGCTAAGAGCATTCACTGACCATGTGCACTGTGCACAGACTCCAGATGGGCCTAGAGATCACTGAGTTCAGCATCCCCGAAAGTTTCCATTTCTCTATGCCACTTCGTCTCCTCCTGTTTATGCTTCACTCTCTGAGGCCAGGTTTCCTGTCTGACTCCAAATGCTACGCTGTTATTACTCAGGCTTGACTCTGGGAGTCTTTTTGCTTTTGTTTGTTTGCTTTGGGAGTGTTTTTTTATAAATTAATACTCCATCTTCCTAATTTAAATTCCTTTCGTTAGTGGTTTCTTCCTCTCCCATTTGTTTTGCTATTCTCTCTTAGGAATTTCAACCCCTAAGCAATACAAAAGAGCTGGGCTTCAATTAGTGATATGTTTATGTTCTGCAGGGATAATTCCAAAGTCGTATATATTTTAAATACCTGTACTTGTGTTTATGAGGGAGCTAATTATAAACTTTAAGGTTATAGTGGAGTTTGCTATGCATCTGAGACCTTCATCATATGATGAAGGATAATAGAAGAATCGATGCCTTTGAGTTGTTGTTCTGGAGAAGAATATTGACCAAACCATGGACCACCAAAGAAACAAACAGGTCTGTCCTGGAGAGGGTGAAGGAAAGGACTTGGAAACTCTGTCTCACATACTCTGGGCCTGTTGTCAGGAGGGACCAGTCCATGGAGAACGACATCATGCTTGGAAGGAGAAAGCACAGAAGAGGAAAACCACTCAGTGTCTGTGGAAATAGGATCAGATGGAGAGGTTGGCTCAGGATAGAGCAGGGTTCAGAGCCATTGTCTGTAGGATTGCTATGAGTCATAGTAGACTGGAAGGCACAGAGCAGCAATGGTGTAGTATGTCAGGGAGGCTGCACGAGGTAGGGCAGGGTTCAGGTCTGCTGTTCATAGGGTCACTCTGATTCATGGCTGACTGCACAGCACCTAACACAGCAACAAACAACAGAGGAGTGATGCACTACCTATCAGACTACCAAGGCAGAAGGTCAGTGGTTTAAGTTGACTAGCTGCTCTAGCAGAGAAAGAGGGTAACCTCCTGCTATAAAGATATACAACTTGGGAACTTACGGAGGGTT